ATATATATATATATATATATATATATATATATATATATATATATATATATATATGTACATATATATATATATGTTTATTTATAAATAGTGGCAGAAGTTCATATTGCAACTTCAAAAACAATAAAATATGGCCTGTTAGAAAATCATATAATCCAAAAAAGACAGAGGAGGAGACAGACAACAACTCAGAGGATCTGTGACTGTCTGTTTCTGCTTATGCAGGTAATCAAGTGTGTTTGTCTGTGAGCCAGTGGGCTCTGCTGTGAGGCTCACAGATTGACCTTAGCTTCTCTGGCTGGCGTGTAATTAAGACTCCATGATACGTGAATTCTCCGGAGGCTCCAACACCCTGATCAATCGAGTTTTCATGAGGAATTCTATTACCAGTGCCACTTAACGCCTAATATTTCATCTCTTTTGTACGAGCAGATAATAAGTCGCTCCACACACATCTATGCAGGCACACACTGCAAACAATCAATGCAGCAATGTAATTAATTAGAAGAGGAGCAGGAAGAGATCTGGGAGGATAGTGTGTCCAAAGTCATTCTCTCATCAGGTAGAGCAGAATATTTACAGTGCGTCCACAGGCTAATCTATAGTCTCCACTGACGGTGCTGGTGTTCACAGCCAGACTGGGGGAGGAGTGGTACTGTGCACTCCACGCGATAGATGCTGACCCATGAACCTCATCAGGATTTACAAAATCCCTCTCAGTGCCTTGCAATCTGTGAGTGTTAACAAAGTCAAAGTACAAAAGAAAACTTTGAAAACTGTAGAAAGAAAAAACGTGATGAGAAGCTGCTGTTTTGTCTTCTGCGTATTGGAAATATAATGATTAAGAGATTCCATAAAAAAGAAGAAAAAGCAAATACTCATGAGCATCAACTGTGAAATAAAATGTTGTTTAAAAAAAACAAATGTCTGTTTGTATGTGTGTACAGGCATGTGTCCATTTTAAGCAGTGAAGACAAGAATTATATATTTTTTTCTAGTTAAAACTTTAGGTAAGAATAGAGTTTTTGCCCAGGGGACTTCAGACTGTTTAAAACACAGATGCTGATTTCCCCCAAACCAGACTGTGCCTTATGGTGATTTGCTTGTTATGCACATTTGTATGTTTATTTTTGTCTGTTTGGTATTACAGAATTGATTATTTTTTCATGTGCATATTGTCTCATAAGTGTAAAAGTGTTTATGTCGAAAAAAACTGAAGGTATTCTGTCATGCTAACCAATTTATTAAATTCTATCCAATATGTTTAGGTTTTTAAATAATGTAGGCTGTTTTTGTTTTATGGACATATTTAGTTATTTACAGCATTGTTTTTCTTTTTATTAAAGATCTCATATGACTATTTTCAAATCATACAATGTCTATTGCTAATAATTTACATTATACATTTTTTTTTACAGACAATCCCTTTAGTTTTTTTTTTTTTTTAATTAGTTATTAGTCATTGACTGTGGCCCTCATTGAAATTTTTTTTTTGTATTTTCCGTTGTGTCTCTGAGTGAGTGAGGATGTTTGAGCTGGCTGCAGTTCCACTGTGAACAGTAGGGAGCACTGATGGCTCACGGCAACACCAGCAAGGACAGATCCCACCTGGATACAAAATCAGTGTGTGCTGTTGTGTGTAAGAGAGTTGTGTGCGAATCAATGTATTCTTTTGCTGCCACTAGGTGTTGCTAGAGACCTTCTCTCTGCCATAGCAGGGCCATAGTAGAAACTGTGCACACTTCAGAAAAGCACAAATAAAAACACAAATACTGTGTTTATTTATTTTAGTTAACTTTTCATAAACAACATAACTCAAAGCCCGACTTTATCTTCTTGTCTTACACTTAAATCCTGACTTCAACCAAACCCAGAAGAACAAGATTTTATAAACCTAGACACCATGTCGTTATAAAAACGACTGTATAATATTAGTGAAATTGCAGTAATATGATAAATAACCAGACTTTATAGTTACCTTATGAGGTACAGGTAGTTATGTGAAAACTTGATACAGAAACTGTTAGTTTATTTATGTATGTTAAAAAGCCATGGTTCCACTGGAGCTGTCTAACGAAGCAATAAAACAACACAGTTTGTCATTTTATCAAATGTACGTAGTAGATTTAGTAACATCTAGTGGTGAGGTTCAATTCAACTTGGTAGAGATCTGATTCAGTCCTCCAGTGTGAATAAGAAAACCTTTCTAGTCTATCTTTATGGGCTAATGTAATACGTTTGTGACCCCAAAGTAAACAAAAATACTTGCATAAACTAAGTATTTAGTCCAATCAATGTCAATTTGTGCATACTGTAATAAAGTTTATATTGATATTGAATTAAATGATTTCTATGGTTCCTTAATAGAATGTGCATAATATATATTTTAACTGCAAAGTTTGACAGCAGAAACTGTAACACTAAAATATAACTTAAAGATTTAAACATTTATTTAAACTCTTCTGGTGAGACGTATCGATGTTCCATTCCTCCCACCATCATTTATTTATATTCTAACTTAAATAAATCTTAATCCTTTGACAGCCCTCGCATTTATACTGTACATGATTAAAATTGCAGTAATAAATACCAGGCTTAGTAATTACTTAATGATGATTAAAATCATCTAAATCAAACAGCAATGTTTGACACAATAGGGAGAGTTTTTCCACTTCAACAACATTTTGATTGAATGAAGAAGAGAAGAAGTTTGTACATCTGGGAAACATTTTTTCAAGTCAGTTCCTAGGGATCCCAGAACACTAACAACTGTAAACAAAACATATAACAGACCAACATGGTAAGATTCAACATTCCTCCTGTGTGCACTTTGCCTTAATGTCCTGTAGGAAACTGCACATCGAGCATCTTACAATATCAGACCACTGAAAGACGAGAATGAAAACCTGACACAGGTAAATGTGAACTGGTGTAAAACACCTAATATGGCAGAGATGAGCTGATTTTCTCAGTTTGTGTGTGTTTTAGGCACACATTATGACTTCGTGTTAGAATTCTATTTTCAAAACCCATTTAGATATTCAACATATTCACAAACTGAATGCTTATTTCCCTTCGTTGCGGCACAAACAGACAGTGGAACTGAGCAATGGGGGTAGATTTTTTTTTAGATCAAATCTGATTGTATAAAACTTAAAATGCTCTAAACCACTGGTTCCCAACTGATTTTGGCTTGTGACCACATTTTGACATCAGAAATTTCTGGCAACCCCAGAGACATTTTTTTTGTTCCAGTCAAGTGATCGCAGGCATCAATCAAGATGCGCCAGCTCAGATATTTTAATGTGCTGCATTTTATTTGTACTCAATTTATATTCATGAAAGTGAAAGAATACAGTCGTTTAAGTTTGTGTGTGGTGTTTTTAATTATAATTTTTTAAAAAAGAACAATAATTAGTGAAAGAAATATATTTCATTTTTTTTTTTAATTACTAAACATTTTGGATGACCCTATTTGAATTCCAGGTATGTTGGGCTGCGACCCCAAGGTTGAAAAACACTGTCCTAAACGGTTTTGAACTAGTAAATGGTAATTATTGAAAGAAAAACATCCATATTGTATGAGGTGTGGAGTTGATCCAGGAAGGCCAATCATGAAGCCTCTGTTGACTTTTACATGGAAAGACTTAAAGGCAGCCAGTCCAGGCATTGAAAAAGTGCCTTCCCAATTAAGAGTGTGCCAGTTAATCCATCTTGATCCTTTTGAAAAGCGCTGGGCCGTTCTCACCGCCCTGCAGTCAGCTATGCAAGCTGAGCTGATTGATTCTGAACCAATCTTCTCTACAAGACTGCAGCCCAGGATGTAATGACCCACAGCTAAAGCTTGGATTAAACCTGGGCCAGAAAAATGTGGATGGATCAACCACCAGCAGAGACCTTCTGGACACAGCCTGTTTGTGAGTCAAGCTGAATTACATGGCCTGGCACAAGAAAGGTGTGGCGTCTGATTAGGGTTCTGCTTTGATTGCCAATCAAGTTTCTTGGAGCAAACCTTTAATGTGAGTGAGGCAGTTGATCTGCAGCCTGGGGCAAACGTAACTACACATTATATCTAGCTGTATGCTACATGTAAAGACAGATGTTGAAGGTGAAAATATATTTTGCAAATCTTGCTCTGGGTTTCTTTTATGTACATTAAAAATCTGGGATTTGCACAATATGTTTTTTTTAATGAAAATGTATTTGAGGTGAAGACCTTTGTGTGGTTAAAAACAGTGGCTAAGAGAAAAGAAAACCAAACTACAGATCCATTCATTACACATCCAATTTAAATTCTCTTACAGCCTATCCTTTGACAGAGGTCACCACCGTGGTGATCCACATTAACATGTGCCATATTTTTATTCTGGATGCCATTTCTGACCTTCTCCATTGGTGATGGGAGTGGGTAACTGATTGGATTTAAAACACTGACCCCCTGAATATTAGATGAGAATCACACTATTGGACCAGTCCCATCCATTGACCATGTTAATCATCAGGATTAACCACCAACATTTAGTTCACCAACAAAAACGTCAACAAGCTCAGGCTCATGCTTTGGGAGTCACTGCTGCCATCCCATAAACTCACTTGAACGGACTTTATTAGCATAAACAGGTGAAAGGTGATCCAATCGGTGTCCTCTCTGCGATTATACATTGGTGCTAATGGTGGCAGAATGTGACACGTGGGAAACTCAGCTGCTCTGACTGAACCATAATGAAAAACAACCAGAGACGCAGAAACAAATTCAGTTCAAACTAAATTTGTTGAATCTTGATCCGCATAAGAATTATGCATACAAAAACTAAAATATAGTGCAAAACCCAAAACATCCAGGAAAAAAAGAAAATGCTGTGCCGTAAAGTTTAAACCAATCAAATCGGGTTTGGGATCAGTATAAAGACATTGGTAATGTGTGAGTGTGTTTATGTTCTTACCTTCAAGCCTGACGACCAGTGGCACTTTCAGCTCCAGCTCACGACAGGCCTTGGTGATACCATTGGCAATAATGGCACAGTTGACAATTCCACCAAAAATGTTGACCAGGATGGCCTCTACCTGTCAAACATTGAACAAAAAACAATTTAACACAAAGGGGAATATATTAAGATGTTATCAATGGGAAACATGTAGTATCCATTGCTGTACAGCTACAGTATGAAGCTCAATCACCACATTGTACACGCTGCTTTCAGAATGACATTTCTCTAAACATCCAAAAGAGAGGTTTTTGGCACCAGACGTGTGTGCAGTGGGTCACACACCCAGAGGCTGTCGACCCTGAGGCAATACAAAACCATCACAATGGAGGCAGGATGAAGCAATATATTGTTGAAGTTGAGAGGGCAGCAGCAAGTAAGAGAGGCAGCGTCAGAGTTATTCAGTGAAAGGAGGTGACATGACAAGCAGCAGCAGCAGCAGCAGCAGCAGACAAACACATGATTGTAGCTGAGCCTTTAAAACTATTTTTTAATACCAAGTGTCTCAAAAGACTCTCACTCTCAATCTCTCTAATAAGAGATTAAAATTGCAAAGCAATCAAGCTAAAAGCCCAGAGAAGTACTTTCAAATCTAAAAACTATAAAAAGAACATCAAAAACAAGTAAAAACTATAAAAAGAACATCAAAAACAAACAGTAACGGTGACTGAGGTGTAACTGATTTTCAATGCTTGAACGGTAAAAGGCACAGGCTGGATGATTCATTTAATATGCAGCCATGGACACTTGATGACAGACAGTGTGCATATAAAAAGGAGAAAACACATCTTATATCATGAATGACATGTTTCAGATGACTGAGCTCAGATTGTATCCAACTAAAAATTAATAAACATGGTTGGGTTTAAAGTGAGGTTAGAGACGTGAAGATACTGCAGTTCAATATGTACATGTGATAAAACCATGTTTTGGATGATGTTTTTGATGGAGCTGCAACACAGGCTGAAAATGTAAATGCCTTATTTACAGCCAAATGTAAGGAGGACATGACGAGAGAAAAATAATAGTCATACTAAATGGTATGCATATGTGACTGGATCTCCCATGGGTGACTTTAAGTAACCGTACGAACAAGGCTTAAAGTATGTCTACTGCTGTAGTACATTTGAGTGTACTGCTACCACACTGGGTATCATGTTCACATGAGCTGAGGTGTCTTTAAGACATGGTACAGCAAGGAAACAGATTTCGCTTAGTAGGCAGCTGGTGCATGTGTGTGTGTGTGATTACTCTAACAATCTAGCACTTGATAATTACCATGGCTAGCTCAGTGTTAAAGTAAACTGAGAGCATGCAGGATTAATCCCCCATGTTTGTTTATAATCACTGCTAATCTGTTAGCACCAATTTGGATGAGCGGCTCGTGGGCGAGTGTGTCAGTGTGTCAGTGTGTATGTGTGTCTGAGTGTGTATGTGTGCACGGTGGATGTTTTCACAGTGTGTGGTAATAATGTTTACGGAGGAGAGAGGATCAAGGACTTGGACAGCTATCTGAGTGACAGCCATGGCAGGGTCCTCTGCATGCTTTCCAAATGAGCATCTCCACATAAACAGCAGAGAGTGAAACCAGAGCAGAAGGAAGCACCAAAACAAACACAGACGTGAACTATGGCATCAAGAGCGGGACACCATGTGTGAACATTAGGCCGGCTGTGGATCGTGCCACAATGTGAGGAGAAGGCGCGAGGAACTTGGAATGAATGGATGGGTGGAAAATGTAACAGAAACAAAGTCAAACTTTGAAAAGTAAAGCTATTAAAATGTCCTGTACCATGTAAAACACAAAGCACATCATTTTTTTAAAATTATGTTACTAACTAAAAAAATAATAGTATGAACAATTTTGATTTTTCGATTTGACACACCTAATCTTTTAGATAGATAAAATTCTTCTTTTAGAAGATAAATATAGACATAACAAAATAAATATGCTTTACATATTTCGATGAGTTACCCGTTACTGATGTGCCATTTTCATTTATATATAATGTCATCAGTGGCAAGTTGACAATTATAAGAATATATATATAAACACTGGGTTTCTTTCTACAATAATATTAAAGTATAGGCTGGATTGGAACACTCTGGCACTTGTGGCTTGTAAAATTAATAAATAAATAATAATAATGTCCTAATTTTCTCACTTTCCTTGTATTCCATGACTAGAAAATCGGTTCATTACTAACTAGTTACCACAGGTCTGCTGTTTTTCTACCTGGGTAACACCAAAAGCAGTCGGTCACAGTGAAGTTCGCAGCAATACTGAACTTTATTCTGCATTATTATTTTTTTGTGGTGGCTTTAAGACTAAGGGCAGTTGTATCCTTTAAGCACAATCTATAAAGTGTAACTGTCTGTGGAACCAAGAGAGAATTTAAATTACAGATGTGCTTAAAAGTGCCCTTCGCTACACTGATCAGTAACTACAAAAATATAATTTACAACCCCTAGTATTTGTTGGATATCAAGTTAGAAATGGTAAGTTCTTGACCGACGTGTTATAATGTTGGATCTCTTGTCAAACAGATGTTGTCCTCTTGCATTATATGCATTACAAGACTATACTCCAGTAAGACAAATAAAACTCATTGCTATATACTCAGCTTTTGCAGTAGCAGTTGTCTGCAGAGTCGATGCAGTCAAACAGTGTCAAAGAGAGATTATCTCTAGGCTGCAGTCCCTCAGACAAAGTCTTTCAGCGAAGAAAACAAGACTATAATGGAGCAAATTGACTGGTTAGAAAACGTATGGAGGCAGATAGAGAGTCAGCGCCGACAGGAGCTCAGGAGAAAAGATGAGCTCCTCCAAAGTCATCAGAAAGAGAAAGGTTGCTCAGAAGAGTTTACTCATTCACTGCCTCCTTCACTCAAACTGACAACAGGCCATACCATACCCTGGAAGAAGTTCACTGAGGAATGGCAATAAAAAAATCCAACAAAAAAAGGGGATGAGTGAAGGGAAAAAAAATAGTGTGATGAAGATGACATAGGACTTCAGTCATTCTAAATATTGATAAAGGCCTCTAAGACTGCAGAGTACTTTAAATATTTAATTATAATTATTTTATTAATTCGCTGTAACTGTACTTTTCATAAAAAATTGATCATTTATGTCTAGTAGGACCAAGATAACACAAATTCTGTGACGTTTACGTCATATGTCATTTTAAATAAATGCATATAAATACAACTGCACACTACATAATATTTCATGTCAAAAGTTGTCATGAGAACTAGGGACTTTATTATAAGTCCAAAACTGAAACCGGTACTGCAACCTGGAGTATCTACCAATGCGACACCTCCTTTTCTGATTGTACGTTTAATTGGATTGAAAAAAAAATGTATGTATGTAATAGGGTTAACTGGACGTTACATGGAAATAGTAATTATCTGTGCTTTTCCTAAAATGTTTTATTTTTCAAAAAATAATGCAGACATAGATGGACAAGAATCATTCCCACCAAGGCAGAAGGATATTAATACAATTTTAAGGACACACACAGATGCCTATTTCTGAGACAAGAAAATAAATAGCAAAAATCTCACACCTAAATTGAAACCTCTTCTCAAATGCTTCATGCACATGCACACGTAAATGTGAGTGAAAAGTGGCTGGAGGTGAGAGGACAGCAGCAAATGCCTGCAATTCAGCACAGGCAGATGGGAAGTTGGTGTGAGATGTGACTCGGTCACTGGTGCTCAGACCATGAACTGACCAGTCCTGACAGTCTGTAGGGTGTGATCTGGAGACTGTTACGGACTTGTGGAGGTGTGTGAATCTATACTCTCTACTGCCTCAGGGGACACGTGTGAATGTTGTCCTGAACAGGTGTGGCCCACAACAGTGACATCGGGTCATGACTCCTTCTGCCACATTTAGTTTGTACAGAGCAAATTTGAGTCTATGTTTATTTACTGTTTCACCACTGGACTGCAGTAGATTTACAGAGCCATGATCTGTCACAGAGGATTTGTTCCTATATCACTTGCCTTATGTGCCACATTACCATAAACAGCATGCAAGGTTTGCAAGGTAAATGTCTCTGATGTTGAACCAGTACTATATGACAGCCGTTCAACTTTAAACAGAGGACCTTGCTACAGCTGATAATACATGTAAAACAAAGACTCAGATAAAGATACAGTCATCAGTATTCATGTCCTGGTTTGACACACTGAGTCACACAGAGGATCAACTGGTCTCCACTGGGGGGCAGCAGAGATTTAGATGGCTTTTAGCAGCCACACTATGAAGGGCTCCATTTTTGCCCGATCTGCAGCCCATTTTTCAAACAAACCTCTAGTGGGAAGAACCATATTTCTTCCTTCCACGCATATCCTATTGACACCGATGTGTATTAATGATACATAAGAAATGATTTATGTTGCCCTGCGCAGAAGTAAATGCAGTTCATAGAAATATGGATGTAGCAAGTTGGATTTTGCCTGAGGTTTGTCCTTTTTTATTCCACTGCGTTTCTACGGTTTTAGGTTTACTAGTATATGTACCGCCCAGGGGACATTATTTTTCCTGAACAAACTGTTTTGTCCTGTATGTATAAATCCAATTTTGCCTATTCTGATTAAATAATACAGCCCACTACTAGGTACGCTGGTGACTTAACCACTTAAGGGTAAAAAAAGCAGAAAAAGCAAAAATGGTTAGAAAAAAAAGCATGTGTAAGTGCAAAGCTTGCTTTTGGAATCACTCCTACGTTCCTATAAAGAATTACGTGTGCTTCTATGATGTCACTGTCTATGCAGAGGTTTCGCTTTTAAATACTGTACCCCATTGTCAGCATAATGGGCTGTACTGGACTACCAGTCCTACAAATTTCAACCTCAGAAAGGATAGCATTTCAAAACCGCCCAAAGCGTAGTCCTCCTCTTTTTTATTCCGCTCCAAGCACCTACAAATAATTTTGCTTTAAAGTATGAAATAACCTTGCACACTCCAATCTAACTCTAATCTCCAACATTACCGTCCCCAGAATTCCACCTCCTGTCACAGAACTTGTATCAGGCTTCTCCCTAAAGGCATTCATTTTAGGTGAAC